AGGGTCGGTGGGCGCGCCCATGATCACATCTTTTGAGTTTTGGCTGATGACGATGTTAGTTTTTGGGATGAGTGGTGGATAGGTGATAGACCGTTGTCTAGGGATAGACAGGTGTCGTATTCCCCCTTCCTGCTTGTGAGCGACCTTTGGACGGACGGGTCGTGGGATAAGAATAAGCTTGATAGGGAGTTGGGCCTTGGGGCGGGTTTTAGCGAGCATTTATTAGATCAAATCCAGCAGATTCCCATCTTGGGGGATGGTTCGGATGACACGAGGTGGAGACTTACATCATCGGGTGTGTTTTCTACTACCTCGGCCTGGGAGCAGATCAGGCTGAGAGATCGGCCTAATCTTCTCTTCGGAGCCATCTGGAGCGATCTTTTCACCCCTACCATTTCGGTATTCCTTTGGCGCCTCTTCTTGCGACGGATACCCGTGGACATTGTTTTACATGCGAGGGGGTTCTCCTTCCCCTCCCGGTGTGTGTGTTGTTCTGAGACTGGACGCCATGAGACCGAGACCTTTACCCACCTTTTTCTAGAGAGTGAGATTGTGAGGAGAGTGTGGGAGCACTTTGCCACCTGGACACATATATTCCTACCCTCCACAGACAGTTTCTTTGAGCTCCTAAGTTTTTTCTCACATAGCACACACTTTAGACACGTGGGCTACCTCATTCCTTGTCTGATCCTTTGGTTCACCTGGATGGAAAGGAATAGTGCGACACATAAGGATATTACTTTTTTGCTTTCTCACATTGTTTTGCAGGTAGGGTGACATCTTTCACTCCTTATATCTTTGAGCAGGCTCATTGCCCGAGACTGAACAGGCTGCACGGCACCACACCGCTACATGGTGGCTTCCCATGCGCCTGTTCGGCCCCCTCGGGCCAGAGCTGTTGTTTAGCTTCGACCCAACTCTCCTTGGGTCAAGCTGAACACTGATGGTTCTTTCGATCGCCAAACTGGAGTTGCCGGTGAAAGAGGTTTGATTCAGGATCACAGCGGCGCCCTCATCACCGCCTTCCACACGTCCCTCCAGGCCTCCTCGAGTTATGATGCAGAGATTCAGGCATTACAGATTGGCCTTCAGATTGCCGCCCACCTTTCCAGTCATATTTGGATCGGGCTGGAAGCTACGGCCGTTGTCACTCTCCTGACCTCGGGCCACCAGGGCTCGTGGCATATTCAGCACCCGCTTATGCGCATTAGAGCTTTTTCCGCATATTTTCCGTGAGGGGAACAGACCTGCTGACTACCTTGCCAGCCTTGGCGCCACCACACCTGACCTACACACGTTTCAGACCGACATTGCTCCACTCCGCCTTCGCACGTTGGTACGGATGGACCAGCTTGGATACCCATCTTTTCGCCTTTAGTAGACTAGATTTTTGGTTCTCATTAGATCATACATTTATTCCGGGCACCTGTTAGCCGGTGACAGACCGTGTATTTTTCCCTTTTTTTTTGTTTTCGTTTCTGTTTTGACTGTGGAGACTATGTTGACTGTAGCTGTTTGACTTTTTGGGCCCGTTTTGGGGTCTTGATCTATGTACAGGTTGGGATCTGCCCAATCCCCCCCCTTCGTGGCATTGTTTGTTAAAACAAAAAAAACCTAGCAACTACAAAGAACCAACTTAGCAACTACAGAGAACTAACCTAGCAACTACAGAGAACTAACCTAGTTGGAAGGTTAGTTGTCAACGGTCAACGCCGGAGTCAACGTCAAAAGTCAACGTCAGAAGTCAACGGTCAATGCAGAAAGTCAACGGATTTCGCCAGAAGTCAAACGGTCAATGCCGGAGTCAACGGGTCAAAATAATATTTAAATAATTAAAATAATAAAAAAAAGAGTGAATCTTGGCCACACACAATGTACCAAATCTTGTGGCTAAAATTGAGTCTCACGTTCTCACTTTGAAAAAGCGACTGCATTTGAACTAATCCACACATATATATA